GTTTAGACGACATTACAAGACCCAGAAAAGAGATGACAATTGAAGAACTTGAGGGACATCTCATTGAACTGCGATCTAAAGGCCTGAACACTAGAGGAGTGTTGAGAAGTCTACTCATGGCTTACTGCCGACGAACCAAATATACGGATGAATCAAATAATGATATTTTAGTGAATGCGGCGCGAGATCGAGTCAATCAAATCCTTAGCGAATTGAATGACTCGGACCACGAGTTTACGAATGCCATGCATGCGATGCTTATGGAGTTTTACGTCAATTGTGGAGACATTCAAAGAGCCCTCGAAGTGAAGAATAAGATAACGAAAGAGTTTGAAATTGATTGCTACAAAATAATCAATTTTGCCACACTTTACGTGAAAAATAATGAAATAAATAAAGGAATTGATTTGATTAGAGAAGAAAACTCAAGAAAATCCGATGCATTTGAAGGCGAAGAAGGGAATACACAACAGATTCGGTCGAAAGATATGAGTATTTTTAGGCTTTTGAATAGTCTTATCGAAGCGAAAGCAGACTTAAAGCTATTGAGAGAAGTGTTTGATCTCTGTATAGACTTTTCAAGTGTAGCGCCGACAGCAGTAATGGCCGGACCTATCATTAAGTATCTCATTCTTCAAGAGGACTATTCAGAAGCACTTAACGAATTCTTGGAGTTCGCCGAAAAATACCGAATCACTCCCTGGAAGAACCAATTGGTTCGCTATTTCCTCGAAAACGGCGATCAAATAAGTCTACAGAAAGTGATCGACGCGTCCGACAAAATTCACGGCGAAATGAATACGATTATGGATTTGGCGGCCGTTTGTGTTGAGACGGGAAAGTTGAAACAGGCGAAGAAGCTGTTGGACACTCCCGGCCTTCGGGTCCGACAAATCAAAATCGACAACATTTGCGAGCATTTCATCAAAGAGGACAAAATGGACGAATTGGAACAATTCATCCGAAGCTCGAGAAATGTATTCGACATAAATCGCGACCGAATGCTATATCATCTGATCAGAGGCTGTATTAAAACCGAGAGCGCAGACAAAGCTCTTAACTGTTGGACTCTAATGCAAGAGCAGGACATCCAACCCAGCGATCAGACGCTCATTCTTTTGGCCAATTATTTGGAGCAAAAGAATATAACGGTTCCGTTCGCTGTTCCTCCCACTCCTATCCCACAGCCGGTTGTTTCCAACGAGTCCTTCAGACAAGACCAGACTTATCGCAAACCAATGGATGATTTGCTGAACAAATTCAATATTGCCCTCAAAGAGTCGGACATCGATCGAGCGATGGCTATAAAGAATGAGTTGGAATCCGAAGGGAAATCCCTTTTGATGTCTCAAAACTGTTCGCTCATTGAAGCGCTTCTAAACGCTGATAGAATTGATGAGGGATTTGCAATATCCGAGTCATTACTGGCGTCCAAACTGTTCCCTTCGCCACGAATTATTCGATACCTTTATCTTAAATTGTCTACAAATGGAGATTACGATCGATTAGAGAGATTGCGCCCAATTTTGCCCGAATTTCTCGTACAAAACAATTCGTTCACAAACTCGTTGTCAATCGCTTACATCAATAGCGGCAAAGCAGAGGAACTCATTGAGAATCATTTGCTTCAAATGAAACCCTTTCCTTTGGGAGGTTTCTTACGAGCCCTTGAATTGAGACCCGATCTCGAGGAACGACTCGTCGATATCGCTAATGAGTTGATACGCGAATCCGACTTTCATTTGCCGTTAAATATGGTTTGGATTAATTGCATGAAGAAGGGGCGCTTCGATGACGCCAAACGAATCTATGAGTCGTGTCCTAAACTCAAGGATTTCCTATTATTTTCCTCTTTATTGGACTCTATTCGCGAGAATAAGAATATAGTTTTGGCTCAGAATCTGATCGAAACGGTGTCCAAATCAAACTTAACCCCGAAATCAATAGGAATCACGTATTCAGCACTCATTGACGCATATATTGATACGGAACAGATCAGCACTGCTGAAGACGTTGTCGTCAATCAAGTGGTAAACAATACGACGACCAGAATTGATCCCAAGTCTTCGACAAAAGTGAAACTCTTAGACATCGAGCACTTGAATCGACCGACTCTTAGTCGCCTCACGAAAGCGATTCGTGAGAAAGAGAAAAGAGAGCCTAAATTCTCGGCCCTAAACAACAGGTCATCCGCTCCCACCTCTTCTGACGGCTCTCTAAGTGATAGCAGTAGTGATGATGAAGTGATTGACGTGAAGAATAAATAATATAATCATTCATTAGTCCCTTCATCTAAACAGTAAAGTAATTGAAAAGAGATTTACTGAATATTGAGCTATAGTTTTGTTTTAACTTACTTTATATAAAATTACATTAATTTTTTCACGTATTATTACAAATCATAGTTGTCTTGAAATAATTTATTAAATATAATTACGATTTATATTATATTATATTATATTAATTTAAAACACAATTCTATTTGAAAATCTAAATAACAAAATGAGTCAACCATTAGTTTATAACCCAAAATGCAAACCTTATGACCGATAACTTGATTTAACTAAAACTTGTGACTATTAATCATCGCTTGCATCGAATTGCTGTCGAATTAGATTCCAATACAAACCCTTCTCTTTGATGAGTTGTGAATGGGTTCCGATCTCTGCGAGCCTTCCCTTCGAGATGACTGCAATCATATCTGCATTTTGTATTGTACTCAAGCGGTGGGCGATTACCAACACTATTACAAAGTACAGAATATCAGTGCTGTTTTGTACATACACTGTATTTACCGCATATGACTCACCCGTTCTGTTTTTCATCACCTTTTCGAGCGCCTCCTGAACCAAAGCCTCGGACTCTGTGTCCAAAGCGGAAGTCGCCTCATCGAGAATCAGTACATTTGGGTTCTTAATGAGAGCCCTCGCGATTGCTATTCTTTGTTTCTGACCGCCAGATACAGTGACCCCACGCTCGCCAACAATAGTCTGGTAGCCGTCGGGAAAGTCAGTGATGAAGTTGTGTGCGTTTGCCAGTCTGGCCGCACTCATCACCTCCTCATCAGTTGCTTCCGGTTTTCCGAATCGTATGTTTTCCATGACTGTTGTGCCGAACAGAATGGGCTCCTGATTGATGAATCCGATTACATGGCGTCTGAGCCAATTCGGATCCAATGTCTTGATGTCACAGCCATCCAAAGTGATGGAACCGTAATCGATGTCATAAAACCTTTCTAAGAGTGAGGCAATCGTTGACTTTCCTTCGCCCGAATGGCCGCAAATTGCCGTCACTTTCGCAGGAATTAGTTTTAGATTAAAATCTTTGAGAACTTTATGTCCAGAACGGGTCGGATAAGAGAAGCCAACATTTCTGAACTCAATTTCTCCGACAACTTTGTTGAGTATAACTCCTGTGTTGAGGACAACAGTGGGTTTGATATCAATGTACTCGAAGACTCTTGTGATGGCAGACGTGCCGCGAATGAAATGACCAAACATTAGAGACAACTGCGAAAGTGATTTCTGAATGGTTTGGGTGGCCACTAAAAATGACATCAAATTTCCAGCACTTATCTCATCACTGGATAAGAGTTTTCCGCCGTAAACAAGAGTTCCTAATACTATGCAATTAAGTCCCAAATTTGTGAGTCCTTGCAATACTCCGATACCTAAACCCAATTTAATGTTTAATTCTTCTGCAGCCATCAGTTCTCTGTCGTACACACTATATGACAAGTATTGCCGTAATTAAAACGATGGCTTAAAATGCATTGATTTAATTCATTACATGGACTGACTTTCCTCCATTGCAAACGCTTTAACGGTCCGAACATTACTAATGGCTTCGCCCGCGACTCCCGACGCTTTGGCAGACTTTTGTTGAAGAATTTGTTGGATTAGTTCATAAACTTACAGTAAATCTCACAATTCTGTAACATTTCCTATCTGTCACTGATTTTCGTATAGCTCTTTAAATATACCGTATGTGTAATAAAGGTTGACAATACCTGTGCCTGAGATTCTTTGGACATTTGTCTAAGATATGAACCCAAAAAAGAGCCACAAAAGACCATTGAGGGCACAACTGTTACCATCAAAAGAGTCATTTTTGGTGATATGACAAACAGGGATATAGAGCACCCAATTATCTATAAAATTAAATTCACTTATTTTTGTGATCATAATTTAAACACAAGTTTACAAGACTTGAGTAAAACTTCGCAGTCCTTGTGAAACACAGAGCTTGAAAGAGCTCTTGAATTCCTGGACATCATTGGTTAGACGACTAATAATTTCGGATGATTTCTGAATGTCGAAGAATGAAGTGTCTAATCGTATGATTGAGGCAAACAAATCACTTCTTATACGAGAGGCGGCCTTCTCGCCGACCACTGCCAGCGATGAGATGTAAGCAAATGTGAACAAACTCTTAGAGATAATCACAATTACAGTCACTTTGAAAGCATTTGAGTATAAGTTTTGTTTACTTGGAGTACGAATAACTGGAAGACCCGATGAGCCGGTCCTTTCATCTCAACGAAGAACCGGTTCGACCAAAAAGAGGAGTTCTCTTCGTTGGCAAACCGCGACAACACATCCATTACGGATCCGATCGACAGCGGAATCTCGATGTTAAGAATGGCCACAATTAAGGCGCTCTTGGATTGGATTCAATGGCAACTAATGTTTACAAAGACTGACCAAAAGTCTTGGATATGTCTTACAGTTATGGCAATCAGTAAATACATTGAATCCGACCTCAAGTACAGCCAAATTCTTCGTAAATTAAAGTTTTCGCTTTCAATGCTTTGGTTCAATGATTGGAGGCTCAGAGTGTCCCCAATGTCTACCACTTCATCCACATCTAAGTCACATTTGGCTCTATTCTTGTGGTAAACATAATACGAGACACCTATGACTCCACTGCCGATGACGGCTACTGACCACCTCTTGGGCTTCAATGACTGCGAAACATGTTTTGACACCAATTTGTCCCTAAATATAGTCTTGTATTGTCTTATGTTGTGTCTCAACACACTGTCTGTCCATTGGATGCCATTATTTGAAACTAATTTCAAGATTCTGTTCGTTAAGACAAATGAAGAAAAGTTTAATTTTATTCAAATTAAAGGGAAAATGGATTTTAAATTAAAGGAAAGTTTTGTCAATAATTATAATTATGATAAAATGCGTTAATAATAACCGGATTTTGTTAATCGTTAAGCAATTAATTGATTTCATACAACAAAACATTTTAATTAAGTTTTATATAAATTTATTAAACTAAATATACAATCATTAATGAAAAACTGAATTAAAACTGAATTAAAAACCCAAATAATGTTTTCAATGAAACCCACAAACAATGTCTCAATGTTTTGCAATGTTTTGCTTATTTTTCAGTGCATTTTGTAATCACTTTTTGCAACATTTTCTATGAATTGATTGACAAATCATTTCATTGTTTTCAAGTTTTGCGGATCTGTTCAGTGATTGCTGTGACCGACAATGTCTTCGGCAGAAGTCAGTGTCAGTCGATACTTGGATCTAATTATTGTGAGTATTGTCTCATCTAATGGTACGAATGGCTCGCAACTAATGAATGGTTTATCGTTTGACAGCAAAGCGAGACTCTGGAGGAGTCTTTCGCCGGCTTTGTGTTGAGTTGGGATCAGAATGAGATCCACACCATTAAGACATACGAGGAGTCGATGAAGAACTTGATTGTGGAGTTGAGTTCGTCGGACAAGATAGAGGTGGGAGTGAAGCACTACATCGATGTCTGCGCTAATATCGTGAGCCAAAAACAAAGCCAAACATTACTCCAAATGCTTGAGTTTGCTGTCAATAACAATCTGATCCCTGGAAAGTATGTCTTGTGTCCACTCGTAACGGGTGTTAACTCGTATTAATCGGTCGTCACTTTCTATAGACTTGTCTGCGAATCCATACTATCGTCAGATAAGCTTCACTACAAGAATGAGATCTTTTGGTGCAATGGTTTGGCTTTGATCCGCAAAATTATTGGAACCGTTGACTACAAGGGTGTCCGAGATTTGCTTAAAATAATCTTCGATAAAGTGAACCAAATCCCAGCCAAAGGCAATGTCTCTGTTCTCAAACAACTCAATGTCTTATTTCAGGTTTCATTTCATTATAACTATTGCTATAAAACTTTGTCTCAAATTATGTGTTGATTTCGATTAGGTTTTTGATTACATATTTGACAGAAACCATTGCTTACTTCCGGCATATCTTATATTGGATGAGATCCAGAAGAAGGGTAAATGGACTCATTGGGTAAGTTGTTTCACACAAACACTATTCAATCTTCACATAACTAATAAATTAATAATACATTTCTGAACAGAAATTCGCAAAACTCATCACAGCTTTTGTGGACAGCTTTCGGCCGACGGGTCAGTCATTTAAATGTGAGTCTAAATGAAGTAATGATTGATTCAATTACAGCCCAAATGGTGTCAACTGCTGGGCGCTCGAAACTGCTGCCAATTGTGGGACATTCCTCGACATTAAATAACATATGGAAATTGGATCCATTGACTGCCAAATTTCAATTGAGAGGGTTATTACCCTATAATAAGGAACTTCTGGAGCCGCAGACAGGGCTTATACGATATGTCTTAGAGCAGCCCTGTTCTCGAGACATGATCTCTGCTATGCTGTCCCTAAACCCCAAACAAAAGCAAAGAAGTGTTATCCTCGAGGAGCAACTCGTGGAACTTATCATAACAGCGATGGAGCGCTCGGAAAGTGACTTTGATTTAAGCGGTGAATCGGGCGAACAGGGATGTAATCCCACATTCTTCTTATGGCAACACCTGTCGAGTCATTTAATTTATTTCGTTTTATTTCAATTCGCGTCATTCCCTCATATGGTTCTCAGACTTCACGACAAACTTTGCAACAAAAATCTCCGCAAAAGTCGAGAGCACTTGATGTGGATTTTGTTACAATTCTTGTCCGGGTCTATACAGAAGAACCCACTCCTCGACTTCCTTCCTATTATGAAACTCTATGATCTCTTGTATCCCGAGAAAGAGCCCCTCCCGGTGCCCGATGTGTCCAAATCGAGTGCTACTCATGCAATGGCTGCGGCATCCGTTTGGATACATTTGATGAAAAAAGCAGAAACAGATTCTGTTAGTCTTCAGCGACCCATTCCTCTGGCACTTAAAGCGCACATCGATTTTCTTCAGGAGAATCTCATTAATAATAACAATCTGTCCATCAGTTGCACTGATTATAGAGTAGCCCTACTTTGCAACGCCTGTATGTTTCCATTTGATTATATTGATTGTTAAATTTGTGTACAATTATTGTGTCCTCTTATAGACAGTACAAATACGGAGTGCTTTTCTCGGCCCCTCTCTATACTGGTTGAAGGCGTTCAGGGAAACAGAGCTATGAATCAAAATTCTGGTTCTATGAGCCCTCCGCCCATGAGTCCGCTTTCTATGAGTGTTTTGGACTCTTTGACAGTTCACACGAAAATGAGGCAAATATTAAAATTTACATGTTTTTGTAAACTTGAAATAACTCACTCAAGAATTTTTTAAATTTATAGTTTAATACACAGCATTGCTAATCAAGTAATGAAATTGGCTCAGGTAACTAAACATTAGAATACAGTATTTATGATTATATTCTAATATTATTGATAATCTCAGTCCAAATCAAATGTGGGATTAGGACCGGCACTCGTGGAGACTTACAGTCGATTACTTATTTATACAGAAATTGAATCGTTGGGTATTAAAGGATTTATGAGTAAATATTTTTATTAACTCACAAATTGGGGTCATTTATAATTGTATTTTCAATTGCAGCACAATTGTTGAACACAGTTTGGCGAAGTCAGGCCTGGGGTATACTTCATACCCTACTTGAGATGTATATCTATCGTTTACATCACATCAACGCTCACTACAGAATCCAACTGTTGGGACATCTGCACAGTCTGTCTAACGTTCCCCAAACAAATCAGGTTCAGTTGCACTTATGTATGGAGAATACGGCCCTTAAATTGATTCTGGGCCTAAGCAGCGCCGAAGTGCTATCTATTCCTCAATACTCGCGCTTCCAAAACGAACCCAAAGGTCTGCTCTCAACAGAATCAGAGGAACTCAACAAAGTTCTTGTGCTGACTCTGGCGCGCGCTATACACGTGACCGGTTCCGAGACATTGACGGCCTCTTGGATTAAAGAGATTCTGCAGACCATTATGCAGAGCACAACCATTAGTTGGTCGTCGTTCACACTGTTATGCTTTCCGAACGCCATCAGCGAATTCTATCAACAGTTTCCCATTCAGAAGGAAAATAAGGCACAACTGAAACGGTCGGTGGAAGAGGAATACCGAAAGTGGAAATCTATGAGCAATGAGAACGACGTGTCTCCTCAACTCAAGCACTTTTCCCTCCCGGGAACGCCTCCTTTATTTCTGTGCTTATTATGGAAAATGCTTTTAGAAAACGACAGAATCAATCCGATCGCATATAAGATTTTGGACCGAATCGGTGCCCGAGCCCTGTCCTCACACATGCGAACATTTGCCGACTTTCTGGTCTATGAGTTCGCCAATCTTGTGGGCGGACAACACGTCAATAAGTTTATTGACGCTCTCAATGACTTGATCTGGAAATGTCATGTCATTACATTAGACAGACTTCTCCTGTGTTTGGCTCTCAGGAGCTTTGAAGGCAACGAAGCACAGGTCTGCTTCTTCATCATCCATATGCTTCTCCTCAGACCGTCTGAGTTCAAGAACCGGGTCTATGAGTTCGTCAAAGAGAACAGTCCCGAGCACTGGAAGCAATCCAATTGGCATGAGAAGCACCAGGCATTCAATCGGGTAGGCATTCAATTTGTAGCCATTTGTTTGGTGTTTAGTCCCTAATTTTCATTCATTTTGTTTGGTTTAGAAATTTCCAGAAAAGTTTTACTTTGAATGCCTGCAAGAGGCAAGCGGTCAGGCCTCTCAACATCAATATTTGCCCTTTTATTTCAGTAATGTTTGCCTCAGATTTTTGCCAGTTTTGGGTAACTATAAGATTTTGTAATTTTAAAAAACAATTGAATATAATATGATTTTTTTGAAAAGATATAATTATTCATCGATTTCTGGAACTGCCATCGGGTTCGATGTCCAATATCGTGGACCAGTTGTTGGACCAATTGGGTGTTTTGTATAAATTTCATGACAAACCGATTACATATCTCTATAATACACTTCATTATTATGAGACCAAACTGAAAGACAAACCACAACTGAAACTAATATCGTGGACCAGTTGTTGGACCAATTGGGTGTTTTGTATAAATTTCATGACAAACCGATTACATATCTCTATAATACACTTCATTATTATGAGACCAAACTGAAAGACAAACCACAACTGAAACGCAAATTAGTTTCGGCTGTAATTAATTCATTTAAAGACATTAAACCGAGAAATTGGGCCTTAAGTGAGGCGTATCTCAATTACATGCAGCGGATGAACGACGACATCGACTGGACTCCCGGTGCGTTCACTTTGGATTTGGATGTTTTATATAATGAACAAAAATTGATTAAATATTGTGCTTCTTATAGGTCTTGAATATTACATTCACTTAATTGGGAGAGTTGTGGACACACTCTCTGGCAGTAAATCTCCATTTCCTCACACAGACTATCGGTTTAATGAGTTCCCGAACGCCGCGGCGCATGCATTGCACGTGACTTGTGTCGAGTTAATGGCTTTACCGGTGAGCGCGTCGGTTGTCGCCAATTCACTGCTGGATGTGGTGCTAATTGGACACAAGATTCTGACCCGAAATAACATTGAGATGTGGATGAATGCCATCGGTTTGGTGTTGACGGCACTGTCCGAGTCTTATTGGTCTGTACTGAACGAACGGATCCTGGAAATGATGCAAAGCCCGACTCTGGAGAGTAACTCAAATCCATTTGATTTGATGGACTTCACGAACAGTCACTCGTCTATGAATGAAATGCAATGCAGTTATTTAATAGCACTCACGCACGCGGTCTGGCATAACGCCAACGTCGGACAGATCAGTCTTATGCCACAATTCCTCAAAGAAAAGGTCAAACCTGTCATCAAAAGCGAAGAGCAGTTCATATTCATTTGTCATATCGTCGGACCATTTCTACAGCGCTTTTATGCTGAGAGAACTCGTTGTGTAATGGATGTGACGATTGAATTGTATGAAATGCTAGAAATCATTGACAAGAGTTGCGAGAAACTAGAATTCATTGATCCCGTCTGTGATCTTCTTTATCACATCAAATGTATGACACATTTATTGATAACTATTTTATTCAACTTTTATTCAAAATAATTATATATTTTAATTGAATAACAGATATGTTTACCGGCGATACAGTCAAACACGAAGTCGAGAGAAGTATCAAGAATTTGAGACCAAACTTACAAAAGAGGCTCAGATTTATCACTCATATTAACATCGATGAGTTAAGTGCTACATCAGTGCCTTGAAAGGCACGTTACGTATAAATAAAACTGACTTTAATTTAATAATCATTTTGTCATTAATTATCCATTTTTGTAATAACTTATGAGAATTTTTTGTATAAATAATAAAATCACAAAAAGAAAGAATTGATAATAGATTTAGAAAATGAATTGAAAGGGAAACGACAAGTCCGGCACTATTGAAGGTTTAGTCACCAAAGTTAATAACTTATGAGAATTTTTTGTATAAATAATAAAATCACAAAAAGAAAGAATTGATAATAGATTTAGAAAATGAATTGAAAGGGAAACGACAAGTCCGGCACTATTGAAGGTTTAGTCACCAACGGTCTGTTCACTATATGAATGACTGCATTGTCTGCCATTATATCACATTTACTGACACCAGAGTTACCGAACCTAACCCTTCCATTGAATGATTTGTGGGCCGGAATCAAGAGCAAATAACTTACACACCAATTCATAGTCAAGAATAAAATTTTTATTTAAAATAGAATTATAGGTTTGTAATATAAATTTAAACTTATATAAAAAATATAATATAATCAATCGGTTAAGTATTTCGTTGATCAGATAAAATGTGCGAAAATATTATAATTGTCTTTAAGTTGATTGGAAGTTGAGTTGAAAAATATGTTTCATATTAAATACACATTTACTGTATACCGTGTTTGAAAAATTGAGAGTTTGTGACAAAAGTGAATAAATAATAAACAAAATCGTAATAATAGAGCAATGATTTGGAAATCATTCGAGAGGTCCGTCCGTCTTTGTTTGGGTGCCAACAGAAAGAGTCTTATAATTGGATTCTGAATGAGCGGACGACTCGGTGTCGTCTGAGGACAGAGAGGCCAATATGTCGTCATCCGTTGTATTGGTCGAGGCATCGACTGTAGAGCGCAGTTGTGTGTCATCTGTTTGGACATAAGTATACTCGGAATGACAGTTCTGTGGCAAAAGTATGGCACTGGCGGTAGTGATCGTCTCGTCAGAGAAGGCGCCCGAGAATTCACAGGTCATGAGCCCCTGAATGTGTTCAGTACTGCCGTATTGGAGATCAGTTTCTGAGCTGCCGTTCACTAATAGTGTGTTCATGTCTTCGGCCATGTCTTGGATCACAATCGACGCCCTTTCCATGTCTTCGTCCATAATGGATGCCATCGAGTCTTCAGTTCCATTCATATCGCTGTGGATGTCATCGCAATCGTCACCTTCGGGTCCTTTAAAGTAAATGTCTTTTTAATCAAATAATAAAACAAAACAAAAATTCATTACAAAACCAAATCTATAGCCAAAAGTTTTCGTACTTTTCTAATCTAAACTCACATTAAAATAGTCATAAGAGTTAAGAAATTGTTTTATTTTAAAAATTTCAAAATTACATTAATAATATACAATTAAAACTCAATAAATGTTTTGTTGTAAATAAAGTTCATTTAAAAAAGTGATTCAAAACGAAAACATATAATTCAATGTCCGACAAATTCGACAAATTCAACAAAGTTTTCATAGAAATCCATATATTTGTGAATAAAGAGAGCGATTGTAAGAAAGAATGAATGAAGGAATTGATTGAATAGTTTGTACGAAAAATGGCTAATAATTGGCTATAAATTTAGTTAAATTGTACGATTGTTTGCTTTTGTGATCTTATTTTACAATACCCTCTGTATCACAATCTGTATCACTCGTTGCACTCACGGCCGACTCACTCCTCCTTCTCCGCAAAGTCCTCACATTTGTCGCCGACTTCTTCACCGCTTTTGTCTTATTACTGGTAATAGATTTCACAGCATTTGCCGTCTCTTTCACTCTAAGACTGCTCTGACGTCTATTTACAACTCGCTTAACATTCGTACGATTATTACCCTTCGAGACATCATTACTACCATTAGTTTTGCTTTGATTGTGTTGTCTCTTAAGTTTGGCTGCGATGTCACGAATCTTCTTCAGGTGTTCCAGAGATCGCGTCAAACGAGTGTTGTTTATACTGGAAGAGGAGGACAGAGAGTTTGGCAACGATTCAGATGATGAAGAACTGCTCGAAGAAGAGGATGAGTGAAGACTTTCATCAGAAGGACATCGACGCAAACGCTTGTGCTTCTTCTCAATGGCAATGATTTGTTGTTTAATCAATAGCTCTCTTTCTAAGGCTTTACTATCTTTTGGCGGCGAAAGTGGTCGCGAACTACGAGTTTGTCTTCGCGTCGATTCAGATGTGGGACTAGTTTTGCATTTATTGGATATATTGGACGCACTTTTCATCGAAGCTTTCGGACGGCCCGGACTTCGCCGCTCCTTCTCATTGGATATGCTTTTCGTTATTTTCTTAGTCTTATTGTCATTGAATTTATTTTTCAAATTCTTTGCTTTCAAATCGTTTGCATTGAAAATCTTTTTTGATTCGCTTTTAATGCCTTTCTTTTCGGAATCGCTTTCAAATTCACTGTCAAAATAATAATCAATGAGCGGAACCACTGGACGGGCTTTCCTTTTCTTGGGTTTGATCCCAATTTGACTAGAATTCAAACTCTTATTTGTCTTTGTGTTGGGCTTTCGGACAAATATATTGTTTGGATGTTTCAACACTTTTGGTGAACTATCCCTCAAAACAATGGTTTGGTGCGAACGCAACACCCGTTCCGATGATCTCCCGCTTGTATTCTTCGACTTCACCTCAACTTCTCTTTTCTCTTCTCTTCGAGTGTATGAATGGGTTCTTAACTGTTGTCTCGTTTGAATCCTTTCTGATGCAAACCTTTTCTCTTTTGAGTTCTCTTTGAAATCAATTTTCTTAACGGAGTTTTGAGTAACACTTTTGGACGGATTTGAAGACTTTTTCTCAATTCTTTGCTGTTTATACTTCTCTTTCAATGAATTAATGCTTTTATTTTCTAAATTATCGCTCGATTTCGAGATCTTCTTCAGTTGACTTGGTTTTAGATTTGGCTCTAAATCTGATCCAACTTTTTTGGCATCAGTTTTACAACTCATGGATTGAGTTCTTCTAATTCTCTCACTTTTATCAACCAAATTGTGTTCAGAAAGCTTTCGGTTCAGAGTCTGAAGACTGGTTCTGCTGCTCAATGATGTCGTTTTGCTGACATTACTCGACGAACTGCCTCTTCGGTCATCACTGGATCTGATCCGACAATTGCTATACTTATCATTGGCTTCCGATTCATCGTCTGATATGTTCTGCGAATCTGATTCGCGTCTCTTGTCGTCGATCGCAGTCTTATTACTATTAACTCGAATGAAGTCGAGATTTGGGGGCAAAATGGATGACTGGCGAAGACATAAGAATGTGAGGAAGTCTTCGGTGTTTGGCTTCTGATTGGGGAAGAGTTCGACCACTTTATTGGAGGCAACGAAACCTGTTTTGATTGGCGTCGAGACCGGACTATTGACGCCAAACCCACAGCTTTGAGCGAACTTTCGTTGCGCCGAAACCTTCCTCCGGTATGCGGCAGAAGACAACAGACTGTTGTCCGCAACCAATGGCTGACTCGCGTTGGAGATGACGGCTTGGGAACCGTTGTGAGCACTCAATTTTGTATCACTTCTGTTGGCTTTACCAGTGATGGACTGCTTCTTCTGGTTTTGTTCATAAACTGAGTGAGTCTTCGATGAGCTCTTCTTCGCGTCTTGAAGTGATGCCAACAGAGCTCTCTTCAGATCTTTATCTTCAGACCAGACACTCGTGTTCTCATAGGACAGGTATGTCTGAAACATAACGAGTAAATGTCTTTCAGTGATCATCAACTGATCCAAAGACAGTGACATACCCTCTGAGCGGCTCTTCGTTTGGGTCTTTTGTTGGTGTTATCGTTGGTCTCATTGTCAGGCATTTCAGTACTTCTAGTGTCACATCAACTGTAGATCACTTGATCACTAATCAACACAAGCTGTCCATACATTTGACTCACATTTTCATACAAAACACAAAACAATAACAAAATTGTCGACAATTAAACACAACTAAAGTCACGCTTTTGTGCACTCATTGCACACACAGTGTGAATGAATGCAAAGCAAACAATAGTGAATAAATACTGTATGAAAACCTAATACACAGACACAGACTGTACGCAGACTAGAGGTTAGACTGCAGAGTATTCAGGGGATAGCATAGAGCCCCGAAAGAGCAGTTAATGGTTTTTCTCTGCCTTATTATATAATACTCACGTAAATGTGTTTCCCATAGAAATTGAATGCCATGTAAGGGGCTGTTCAAAGACAGCGTTAACTTTGCTTAATCGTAATATGAATAACCCGAACACAACCCCAAGTTTTCATAAGTTTAGTCTATTATAGTTCCCATATTCTGCATATCATTACATGTATTCCTCAAACTTTAGACACAAGGGTAAGGTATGTCTCGCACCCTCTCGTTATCTCTTCATTTAATTGAATTTCTTTTCAATCGATAGTCAAACACAATGTTATGGAAAGAGAAGTCTCAAAGTCTGGAGAAATTGAATCCAAAAGACTATTGGAGGACATCGATGAACACGTCTTATTGGATTTGAAGTGAATTGGGGACAAAATATATTGAATTCTCATTTCTAGTCTATTATATCATTATTCTTATGATCCGTTCTTTTGTTATAAAGTTTTGACACAATTCTCGAAATAGTCATTATTTGTATGATTTAATTGTTTTTAAAATTTGTATTTTACTAATAATTTGGGTGTTTTCGAGGAATCGTTTGATTTGTCTAATGAACCGAAACATTGTTTAAATGCCAACAAAAAATTGCATAATTATTGTATATTTGTATATAAATTCACAACAAATACTTGTATATAATGTTTAGAAACTATGAAAAGAAAATCTTATACAAAGTTTATTTTAATTAATGACAATATTGTATTAAAAATACATTTTTTCATTTGTTGCCCTTTTGTTTGTATTGATATTTTTCGTCAATTGTTTGTATAATAAAATGCTGTAATATTTCATATAACATGTTATCTGAGATGAAATGCAGTCAATACATGAGTTCTGGCGCACAATCGGAGGCATTCCGCCCTTTACTATAGTCTCCAGTCTATAGCACTACTCAACGCAATAAACCACTGAATTGTAAAATATATCTTCACTGATATTCGTGTCATTTGCTATAGAATTGTGACAAAAGTGCCAATTATTTCATGAGTTCTCCAGTTTTGCCTTCTCTTCACTCAATCTAAACACTTGTTGTAAGTATTTATTAATTCTTTATTATATTTTTAAATCCCCTCTTAATTCTGAGTTTATTTAAAGAATATTCTGTTGTTATGCAGAATATCCTCTTATCATCTGAATCGTTGCCAAACTCTCTGTCCTCCTCTTCCAGTATAAACAACACTCGTTTGACGCGATCTCTGGAACACCTGAAGAAGATTCGTGACATCGCAGCCAAACTTAAGAGACAACACAATGAAAGTAAAACTAATGGTAATAATGATGTCTCGAAGGGTAATAATCGTAAGAATGTTACGCGAGTTGTAAATAGACGTCAGAGCAGTCTTAGAGTGAAAGAGACGGCAAATGCTGTGAATAAGACAAAAGCGGTGAAGAAGTCGGCGACAAATGTGAGGACTTTGCGGAGAAGGAGGAGTGAGTCGGCCGTGAGTGCAGCGAGTGATACAGATTGTGATACAGAGGGTATTGTAAAATAAGATCACAAAAGCAAACAGTCGTACAATTTAACTAAATTTATAGCCAATTATTAGCCATTTTTCGTACAAACTATTCAATCAATTCCTTCATTCATTCATTCATTCTTTCTTACAATCGCTCTCTTTATTCACAAATATATGGATTTCTATGAAAACTTTGTTGAATTTGTCGGACATTGAATTATATGTTTTCGTTTTGAATCACTTTTTTAAATGAACTTTATTTACAACAAAACATTTATTGAGTTTTAATTGTATATTATTAATGTAATTTTGAAATTTTTAAAATAAAACAATTTCTTAACTCTTATGACTATTTTAATGTGAGTTTAGATTAGAAAAGTACGAAAACTTTTGGCTATAGATTTGGTTTTGTAATGAATTTTTGTTTTGTTTTATTATTTGATTAAAA